TCAGGGGAGGCTCCTGTCACTGTCAGCTCCCCCAGGAGTGGCTCCTCAGGGGGTTCTGGGGCCTCTGTACTGGGTTCTGTGGGTCTGGGGGTCTCGTCCACAACCTCTTCTGGGGCTGAAAGGTAATATAGGGGATACAGGGTTTAAGGGAAACTTGCTTTGCTGGTGCTGTCAACAGATGTCATGGGACCTGACATCAAAGCCCCTCCAGAGCAGGCTGAGGGCTGGGGCTGTTTTATGTTCACCATTCAGTGACTCTTGGAATAAGCGCCAGTGAGGTATCCCCGAGCCGCCGGCCGGCACTGCTGGCACAGACGCACTGTTCAAACCTCCAGAAGGCATCTGAGATGCAGTGTCAGGAGCCAAAGTAATTCTCATTTCCTCTGACCCAATAATCCCAGTTCTGGGCATCTATCCTAAGAAAATTACTAAAGCAGGAAAAAGTTATAGCATGGAAGAATTCATGATGGGATTATTCATGACAGCAAACGTGTCAGGAACCCAAATGACCCGTGGAAGACGATTAATTTTGTTATAGTGCTTTCACCACCACGCATCGAATAACCATTGAAACGGTGACTAATGCTGGTTGTGTAGCCGCAACGTAAATGATTACAATGTACCTGTGTACAAAAAAATAAGAGCGGAGAATTTTATGAACACCGATTGCAACTTTAAAACATGCTCTGCATGCAAAATGCAGAAAGGAAAAGTACGCGGCAAACATTGTTATGAATGCTGGCAGCTGGGAGAATGTGGGACTATAGATTCTTTCTTTCTGTTTTTCAAGCTTTCCACATAATGTTGTTATATTATTTTCACTAGGAAAAGGTGGGCTAAAAAAAGGAATTCTGAGCCTGGAGCTGTGGCTCACGCCTATAATCCTAGCATTTTGGGAGGCTAAGGCGGGTAGATTACCTGAGGTCAGGAGTTCAAGACCAGCCTGGCCAACATGGTGAAACCCTGTCTCTACTAAAAATACAAAAAGTAGCCAAGCGTGGTGGCATGTGCCTATAATCCTAGCTACTCAGGAGGCTGAGGCAGGAGAATTGCTTGAACCTGGGAGGATGAGGTTGCAGTGAGCCAAGATCACGCCACTGCACTCCAGCCTGGGCAACAGAGACTCAATCAAGAAAGGGAAGGGAAGGGGGAAGGGAAAGGGGGAAGGGAAAGGGGGAAAGGAAAGGGGGAAAGGAAAGGGGAAAGGAAAGGAAAGGAAGGGAAGAAAAAAAGAAAGAAAGAAGAAATTCTGGGCTACAACAATTAAAAATCAAGTGTGGAGTAGGGGTTGGGTGGCAATGCAGATGGAACAGGAGGGGCAGGGGTGAGTCCCTCAGCCTGTCCTGTGTCCATTCTGTGGTTCACCATGGTGGGGGTAGGAACACAGAACTGAACATCAGCCAGAACAGCTTACCCTCAGAGTGTGAATTTTCCTAATGTTCATTTTGCAATAATTTCCCTATTCCCCGTTTTCCAAAACTCAGATGGTTCTCTGAGCATGCATATGGAAATGAGGTCTCTCCCCCAGGAATCAGGGAGACCGAGTGAGAGGGCTTCCTCTGTCTGGATGGTCTTTGGGAGACCAGCTTGCACCTCACCTGGTGTCGCAGAGGTGGCGACCTGCCTTGCAAAAGACCTCTCAGCAGGGGGGATTCTTCCCCATTGGTAGAAATTCTCGAAATATACTCTAAACCAGGCATAACCACCTGGCTGAGAATGACTTAGAAAAGGCAGCCTGACTGTGCATTTGGAATTCAGTTCATCTCATGATTCCCAATCCCCCAATTTCTTAGGGACTAGAAATCTTGAAATTTCTCATAATTAGAAATGAAATAAGTCACAAGAGTGACAGGGGAGAAGGACAGATGGGGTGTAAAAAAGGAGAAGACATTATATATTTTCTTTTTTTCCTTTTCCCGATTATAAAAGAAATGTTTGCCATTTAAGAAGACTTGGACTACGCAGAATAGAATAATACCCAAAAAACGTGCTGGAACATTCTATTCTATCTAACAAATCATGCCACCTGTGGGATGTGTTTCTTTCCGGTCTTCTTGCTGTGCCTATTACTTTCAAATGGCTGTGATTAGCATCCTTACAACAAGTTGGCTCTCTTTTTTCTTTTTTTCTGAGACTGAGTTTGGCTCTTTCGCCCAGGCTGGAGTGCAGTGGTGATCTCAGCTCACTACAACCTCCGCCTCCCAGGTTCAAGTGATTCTCATGCCTCAGTCTCCCGAGTAGCTAGGATTACAGGCATGTACCACCAAGCCTGGCTAATTTTTGTAGTTTTAGTAGAGACAGGGTTGCACCATGTTGGCCAGGCTGGTCTGGAACTCCTGACCTCAGGTGATCAGCCTCCTTGGCCTCCCAAAGTGCTGGGATTACAGGTGTGAGCCACTGTCTGGCCTGGGCTCTCTTTTTTCAGTGTAACATTATAAAGTAAGGGTCTTATGTTAAAACATTTCAGTGGTGGCATAATAGCTCTTTTTATAGATGTTGCCTAAATTATTTAGTCACCCCAATGTGGTTTGACGTTGGATTGTTTCTCTCGTATGCATTTGTGTATGTGGTTATAACAAAGAATGCTATGATTAAGACAGAAAAAAAGGAAATTTTTCATTAGTTAGGCTTGGTGTGCACCTGACATATTTAACCCTTGGAGGTCCTCAGTGGTTGACCCTCAGAAGGAGGTCACACCAAAGTGGACAAGCAAACCACTAGCATGGGCCACAGCCATGGGGCACAGATGGAGGGCAGGACACAGGAGCCAAGACCTGGACCCACAGGGCTTGGCGAAAAGGCAGAGCAGTAATCAGGTACCCATGAGGGAAAGGTAGTTACCCCATGAGACCCCAAGCACTACTCACCAGTCACACCCACGGCAGACACAGGGCCCACGCGCCGCCCCTCGTGGAGGCCATACAGGTGCATCTTGTACTTGCGCCCGGGCTCCAGGCCCCCCACGGTGACCTCACTCTCCTCGCCTCCGACACGCACCGCCTGGGGCTGCCCATCCCTGTCCTTGTACTGCACGGTGAAGGAGTCGAAGCGGCCCTGGGGGATGGTCCAGGAGAGGCTCAGCGAGTCAGGGGAGGCTCCTGTCACTGTCAGCTCCCCCAGGAGCGGCTCCTCGGGAGGCTCTGGGGCCTCCATGCTGGGTTCTGTGGGTCTGAGGGTCTCTTCCTCTGCAGCTGAGAAAAAGGATGAGAGGGTCTCTGGGGGATGTGCGCACGTCTTGGGGAAAGGAAGGAGAAGCCAAGGCGGTGACTAGGGGACCTGAGGTCAGCTCAGAGAGGCCCATTCTTGGGGCTGGGGGGTCCTGCTCAGCAGACAGCTAACACACATGACAAGTTCCAGGAGGCCGGGAGCGGTGGCTCACGCCTGTAATCCCAGCACTTTGGGAGGCCGAGGCGGGTGGATCACGAGGTCAAGAGATCGAGACCATCCTGGTCAACATGGTGAAACCCCGTCTCTACTAAAAATACAAAAAAAAATTAGCTGGGCATGGTGGCACGTGCCTGTAATCCCAGCTACTCAGGAGGCTGAGGCAGGAGAATTGCCTGAACCCAGGAGGCGGAGGTTGCGGTGAGCCGAGATTGCGCCATTGCACTCCAGCCTGGGTAACA